ACCCCACCCTTTCTGACCAAGCCATGCCCCTTTCTGATTTAACCCCACCCTTTCTGACCAAACCACGCCCCTTTCTGATTTAACCCCACCCTTTCTGACCAAACCCCGCCCCTTCCTGACCAAACCCCGCCCCCTCGCAGGCCCGAGGTGGGCGTGGCCTCGCCGCAGGTGCTGCAGGAGCAGGTGTCCACCTGCCGGGAGCTGCTGGAGCTGGAGCCCCGCAGCCGCGGTGAGGCCACGCCCACTTCCCCCTTAAGCCCCGCCCCCTCCTCACCCGGAGTGGGGGGCGTGGCCTGACCACACCCCCTTGTGGGCGTGGCCAGGCTGCCTCCTCACCCTGACCCTGCTGCTGTCGGCGCTCGACCCGCTGGGCCACGCCCAGGAAGTGCGGCGGCACCTGCGGAGCCTCCAGGTGAGGGGGCGGGGCTTACTGGTTTGGACTGGTTTATACTGGTTTGTACTGGGAGAGGGTTTGGGACCCGATAGAATTGACTTTGGGGCTTACTGGTTTATACTGGGAGGGGTTTGGGACCCACTGGGAGCGGTTTGGGGTGAGTTTGGGGCTTACTGGTTTGGACTGGTTTGGTCTGGTTTGGACTGGGCGGGGTTTGGGACCCGATAGGATTGACTTTGGGGCTTACTGGTTTATACTGGGAGGAGTTTGGGACACACTGGGGGCGGTTTGGGGTGAGTTTGGGGCTTACTGGTTTGGACTGGTTTGGACTGGGAGAGGGTTTGGGTCCCAATGGAATTGACTTTGGGGCTTACTGGTTTATACTGGGAGGGGTCTGGGACACACTGGGAGCGGTTTTGGGGCTTACTGGTTTATACTGGTTTGGACTGGTTTGTACTGGGAGAGGGTTTGGGACCCGATAGAATTGACTTTGGGGCTTACTGGTTTATACTGGGAGGGGGTTGGGACCCACTGGGAGCGGTTTGGGGTGAGTTTGGGGCTTACTGGTTTGGACTGGTTTGGACTGGTTTGTACTGGGAGAGAGTTTGGGACCCACCGGGTGTGGTTTTGGGGCTTACTGGTTTATACTGGTTTGTACTGGTTTATATTGGGAAAGGGTGCAGGACCCACTGGGGTTGATCTGGAGCTTACTGGTTTATTCTGGTTTGTACTGGGAGGGGTTTTGATGCTTACAGGTTTATACTGGTTTATACTGGTCTATACTGGTCTATACTGGTCTATACTGGTCTATACTGGTCTAGACTAGTTTGTACTGGTTTGTACTGGTCTATACTGGTTTGTACTGGTTTGTACTGGTCTATACTCGTCTATACTGATTTAAACTGGTTTATACTGGTCTATACTGGTTTATACTGGTCTATACTGGTTTATACTGGATTGTACTGTTTTGTACTGGTCCGTACTGGTCCATACTGATCTATACTGGTCTGCACTGGTTTATACTGGTCTATACTGGTCCATGCTGGTCTATACTGGTCTATACTGGTTTGTACTAGTCTATACTGGTCTCTACTGGTCTGTACTGGTTTGTACTTGTCTATACTGCTCTATACTGGTTTGTACTGGTCCATATTGGTTTATACTCATCTATACTGGTCTATACTGGTTTGTACTGGTTTGCCCTGGTCTATACTGGTTTCTACTGGTCCGTACTGGTCTATACTGGTCTCTAACAAGCCCCGCCCCTTCCAGGAGGCCGACCCGCTCCGATTGGGCTTCGTGGCCGACGTGGCCTCGCGATTGGAGGCGGCGCTGGGGGTGCTGGGATTGGGGGCGGGGCCTGGACCGCTTTGGCTCCGCCTACCAAATAAGGTAAAAGGGGAGGGGCTAAAGAGGGAGGGGCGGGGCTTGCTGGAGGAGGCGGGGCTTATGGGAAGGGGAGGGGTTTGAGGGCAGGGGAGGGGTTAAAGGGAGGGGGAGGGGCTAAAGG